TCGTTAGCCAGGAACGCCCTCTACCGAATCCAGTCGGTGAGCGCACGCTCCGAGGTACAGTCATGGCGGAAGAAAATGAGTCCTATTACTTTCCGGACAAACCCTGTATGACAGCCCCAAGAATTTTTGAAAAAGGTAGTCTCGGTTTCTGACGACACCATGTAAAATTGTCAAATATGATATGCTGTTTCTCAAAAGGGCAGCGCGTACGGTCCTGTCTGTAGGTTTGCCTACCTAAAAGCCGAGATGGCAGACGTCAAGTGCGTGACGCCGCGTTAGGCGCGTCGGCATCGTGAGGTGTGCGCCAGGTGCTAGTCGATAGAGGCCTTCCTGGCTACGGTCTACCTTTAGAGCCGAAACACACGTTCAATTCGCAGTAATTCTTTCTTAATTCAGTATGCCAAAGTAGCTGAAAAGTACTTCGGAAGTGCGCAAGATGTATCTCGGCGACTTGCCGGCTCCCGTTACACGCCTATATGTATGTACAGTCTGCGAACATCAAAAGCTCATCATTTGTTAGCCCACAAAGTAAAGTTATAAATTACTTTAAGATTAATTAAGCCTAAAATACTCTTCGGTGTTTGTTCGAGCTTTAATTTATACGCTTGCTAGTAATTTTCAGCTGAATTTTAGGCATTAAAAAGGCCTATTTTCAGGAATTTGAGACATTAAATCGCGTATATGTCGAAAACATTAGATAACGGTTACTAAGGACCTTTCCGTTCAGAATATCAGAAAAACAAAACAGTAAAACTATGTCTAGTGCGAAAAAAACTTTTGATTGATGCTAAGGGGCATCCAATAAACGTTATTATTAAAGAAATCGAGTTTAAAAATGTCTCTCATGAATGTAAGGTTTTCGCCTCGCCTAAGATCCCAGCATATGTTCAAAAATGATCACTGGATATCGTGGACACAGGCGCATTTAGAGGGAGCCAGTCGCCCCCTAGACGCTCAAGTCTGTCATTTTATCAAATATAATGGTATATTTCTATGTCGTAGTGTAAAAACTATCCTCGCTCTGTAAAATGTTATTTTCAGCTTTAGAAGAAAGTTTTATGGAAACGTAGATAATTTGTTTCTTTATCTATACAATTGCTGATTCCAATCTGACCAATTAATAACTTCCAGGATATCCAGTTATCATATTTCGGGTGCTAAGACATTAGAGAATACGAAAACGTCTCATTCGTGGGAGAAAATTTCAAACTCGATTCTTTTCGTGATCATTTTTGTTGGATTTCCCTCAACATAAATATATAAATATATAAATATGTAAATATGTAAATATGTAAATATATAAATATGTAAATATATAAATATATAAATATATAAATATATAAATATATAAATATAAATATATAAATATATAAATATATAAATATATATAAATATATAAATATATAATATATAAATATATAAATATATAAATATATAAATATATAAATATATAAATATATAAATATATAAATATATAAATATATAAATATATAAATATATAAATATATAAATCACTAGATAGATCTTACACGATTAAGTGGTACATAAGCTTGCCTAGCAGCAAACAGTCGCGAGCCTAGATAAATGACTTCATGATCGACTGTACAACCTTGCATCTTGTGGACGGTCGAAGCCCAACTTAGGATTAATGGCAACATTCGCAATGAACAAGGCGAGACTGCACTACTTTGAAAAAGTATCTGCCTCCGTTGTGTTGTGCCGAGTGCCCGAATCAACAAAGAGTAAGTCCGAATCTACACGCATGCTCAAGTCACGCGATAGCTCTATCTGTCTTACTCCCCTACAAAGGATCTATAAAAGAAATTATCAATCCTAATAAGGATAATGCAAAACTGTGTGTCAAATTATTGTATTGTCATCGGTCCTTCATACGTGTGCGAACTTTCAATTTAATCAAACTTCTGGAAATTGGTGAAAATTATGCTCAAAGATTCCATACATACAGACCAAGCTAATAAAACCGTGTTAAAAACTATTATCTACAAGGTTACCAAGTGCTTAAATCAAACCGTGCCCTACAAAACCCCGAAGGGTATCTCAGGCTTAGTTTATTTTAAAGAAATTTTTAACCTTGCTTGGTAGGCTAACAAATGGTGAACTTTTTATTTTCGCAGACTGTACGTGTAGTATCGAATTGAATGAAACAGGAAGGCTACTAAATTCATTTTCGACATGTTGTCAGTCAAAACAAATATATCTGCGTCTTAAGCCTTCGGTAACGGAGGTCTTGATCTGTATTGCACTTGACGTCTGTATGCCGAAATAATTTATCCAGGTGTTCCACTGCTAAATAAATGGGTTCAACGCAAACAAACCAACTGCAGTCTCCTACACATAAGTAGAATTTGAGCGAACATTTATGGTCTTTCGAGGAAACATCACCTGTTACAGATTTCTGTAAACTGAGTACGGCTCTGACCAGTCTGGCCTTATACCCTACTCCACGAGTATCCATCACGGTAGAATGACAGCTGGTTATTTAGTATATTTCAAAATCCCCCATAACAGCAAACGACACATAATTCCGACGGATCCGTCAATGCCAGATAGACAGAGCCATATATTGCTTTTGTTTTTTGTACTTGGTAAACGCTCTTTTAGTTAGAAACGTTCATTTGCATACCAAAAATCAATCGCTACAGACAAATGTTTGCTAGATTTACACCCGATTCGTTATAGCCAACGTTGCAGACTAACACAAAAATATCTCTTGCTGATCAGCTGTTCACCTCAGTAGACGTCCAAGCGTGATGGATACTCGTGAAATAGAGTGTATGTGATATATGATATATGTCTACTATCTACCGTCCCTCAAAAATAAATTTAGTACTGACAGCGAATTATTCCTTAATACTTTTTGGGGCACTACTGGCGTAATAAATTAACAAAGAATCACTGCAGAAGCAATGTGTGTTCGCACTCTTTACAATACAGATGGAGCAGAACGATGGGAGGGACTGATTCATGACATCCCTAAAATGCCGTCTAATTTATAGCCAAGTATATTTTGAACATTTCCGTCCGTCCTACGTCCTACGCATTTTATAGCTGGACACGATTTGGAAAGTTTAGTTTTATTCATGGATTTTTCGTGCAGTTTTTACTACACACTTTTAATACAAGATAGTAGGTATTATATTTCCTCCGCAACATAAAAAAAAATTATGTAAAGCGTAAGTATAAGGATAATAATTGTATGTTCTGTATACAAAAGAAGGCTAGGAAAGTTAACTTGTTCTTCAGCCAAATATACAATTATAAAAATACAAATTTCAAAGATTGTTGCCACAAAGGAGTATCAATGACAAATAAAAGTAATGCCACCAAAGGTAAATCTCGTGCGTGACCGACCCATTTTTGTCGTTTGTATATCCGCAGTTATAAATAAAGTCTCTCAAATATCTGGTAATGCACTATGTGCATTGACATACTTTGGTGTTACAGGATCATTGTCAGAAACGACAAAACTTTGAAGTGAAACTGTGGCACTTTAACTGAATTCAATAAGAAATAACATGGGTTAAAAAACTAAACATATTGGGACGCAACATGTACATTAAATAGGTATATTGAACTAAACTGTAATAAAAACTTACATTCGTACACTACAAAATTTAATATTTAATATTAACACGTTAAAAGCGTACATCAATGGTAAAGGAGAATAAAACTAAAATGACATTACAAAACTGGTAGCTACATTTGAGTTGTGAACAATAAAGATAAGGATACATCAAGTGTAGAATAGAATAAAATTAAATCAAAATCGAAGTGTCCATCATACATGAGATATGGTATAAATAAATAAAATATAATAAAATAAAATTTAATGAAATATAGCAACATTATAAATATTTACAGAATGGTGACTTCACCTTAGTTGTGAAAAGTGACATGTGACATATAGTGTTCTGCCTGCTACAGAATTTTAATTGTTCCACAATCTCGATACCCTAAGGACAAAGGAGCGGTTGTATTGGCCAGTTCTGGATAAACGAAGTTCGACACGGTTAGGACGGCAGACCGAAGTCAGGTGGGTCTGTACCATGGAGGAGAGCTCTGATGAGCAAAGTCCATTGACGTAGCGGTATAAGAGAGCTAGATAGCCGACGGCCCGCCGGTGCGAAAGGGTCCAGAGACTGTCCGTTAGAAAAGAGCTATGGACATGTGAGCAGCACTCGCAGCTAGGTTTTAACTGGGCCTTGTATATAATTACGAGATCATGTGGAGAAAAGTACTTCTTAGCCCTAAGCAAATAGCCTAGCTTTTTCCCAATGACGATAAGTATTCGTGCCAGATCAAGTCTTCAGTGATCTGGACTCCGACCAGCCGAAATGAACAGCTCTTTGGTAGAACTCGGCCATCCATCGAAACCGGATCAGCGCTAGGCCGCTTCTTGTTCGTCAAGGTACAAATACTCTGTTTTGGAAGCGTTAAACTATACAAGATTGTTGCGTCCTCAAGCACGGTTAGGATGGGGAGCCAAGGTCAGGCGGGTCTTTCAGGCAGGCACATCGCTTATATATATAATATCCGTTCTACGGGATAATAAATACTCTCATGAAGAGAGAAGGAGTGGAAGTTTCGCCGTCGTCCATCAATCTCGTCTTTAAACGAAATTAAGTTTATGATGAAACATTTAGTGATATGAGGAACACATTATTTTTCTTGAATATATATGCATTCACAAACTTATTTGATACACGCCAAAAGCTGCCAAACGATTATGGAACACTTTCTATACTGATTATTCTACTACCTCGTTTTCAAGAATTGCCCCTCTGGGTTTTTTACCGAATAATATGGTAAATTTATGTCACATATGTTATTTTATCTACTTAATAAAGCCTTATTTTGCGAAATATTTGTTAGCAGGGATTTCCTCAAGATCTTTATTTGGCTAACTTAGTTCCTCAGCAATAAAAACTTCTTATTCTTCAATATTCGAATAAAGGACGATCGACGGAGCTTTGTTCCTTGTTCACGAAACCCCCTGTGTATGAATGTAAACTTGCTCTCAATTTTGGCACATCCTGTATATCAAGGTTACGTCAAATTATGTCATTGGAATTACGTCAAACGTCATATGATTTTGACACTGACATACGACATTAATAACAATGGCCGCCATATATGGAAATTTCTAGCAAGTTTTTGAATTTGAACGTAATTTTTGAGTAATTATACGAAATATTTTAACTCCAAAAAGTGATAACAATGGTTTTGAATAATTAAGTGGTCTTTTGAAATACATATTGTGGCGTGTAAATAGTATTTTACGAGAGAAAATAAGCTTAAAATATCTGTGCAATCATGGCATACAAAGCTTACGTGTTTTATATATCATTTTTACTTGTGATTTTTTCAAAATGCGCTTATCTAGATGATAGCATAAAGCCTAATGAACTGGCACATCAAAATGAAGGCATTACAAACCAGCAGAATACGAATAAAAACCAAACCAATACTACTACTATTTCTAAAACTGGTGGTATGGTGAGTGATAAAAACAGTGGTGATAGTAAAGATAGTGTTCCAAAGGATATAGCTTCAAGCAAAAAAGATAATGCAGAAGCTGCGAGTGATAATAATGCCAAAGCTGATAGTAATAGTGATAACACAAAAGCTACAGTAGATGTTAGTCCTAATCCTCTAATAAATGTTACAACAAGTACGTTGAGTAATAATAACAGTTCAGAGAAGAGCTTAGGAACATCAACAGTGAAGCCAAATAGTACCACAACAAATAGGTAATGTTTTTCTTTGTATTTACATTAGAATTAGGTACAACCTGTTCCTGAATAATTTCACAAAACTATTAGAAGATTTCTCCATCAACCTTCACCTTAAGCTTGTCATTTATAATTATTACTGTTTCCATCAAGTGTTGATCACAGGATGTTGATTAATAATAATCGACTTTATTTGTTGCCGCATGATGAGATCATATTACTACAAAAATGCAAAGAAAATATTTGATATTGTATATGTGAACACAAAATTGTGAGAGCTAATCTACCACTTGACTGACAGACATATTGCTTAATCACTGGACTACATAAAAAGTAGCTTAACTATGACATAACAGTGTTTTTCAATATTCTGTCATGAACAGAATATACAAAAGTTCAATTCCAGAAAGATTGTGAGAATTCCACAGATTTGTAAAAAATCTATTGATATGTTTTTTAATCCTACCTATATCTAATTGTGTTATATTTTTTTACATATATTCAAAAGAATTAATATGTTATATTTTTCACAAAAAAAGTCTTTGAAATAAATCTAAAGGATTTTTCTCCACTAAACCCTTATCTTTCATATGCCCAAATTTCTTGTTTATACCTATATCCAAAAATGGTTATGATGGAACTATTGTTGTATGTTAATGTAAGAACACATAGGGCTACCCAAGAGACTTGACTTATATTCTTGTTGACTATTTCAAATCACTGATATGTATTTTGTAATAGGCCTTGACGCACCTTGTTTTAAAATAGTCACAATATATTTAAAATCTGAATTAAATAATTTTTTAAAGCAAATTTTGAATAGTCAATTTATTTTATTTATAGTACTGAAGCTCCCCATACTGTTGATCCAGTACCTGTCTTACCAGACAAGGAGGCAGCAGAGGAAGAACACAACAGTTCCATGGCTATATTCTTTGTATTATGTGTGCTAGCATTAGGAATTTTACTAATACATCTTATGTTACAAACAGGTAATTTAGTGAAAAATAAACTAAAGGTGACATGCCACCTTTGGATAGTTTCCCAAATGCTGGTAACTTATTTTAGCAGCAAGACTTGATATTGTGACTCAGCCTCTCAACAACCTTGTTCAGCTTCTTAGAACCGGATTCTATCATTCACAGATGCTTGGAAATACTAGTTACCTGCTACGATATGTAGAAGTGATGGTACTGTGATCGTCAAACTCCTAAGGTGGCAGAGTCACTGTTATTTTTCTCTTGGAGATTTTACCTACCTGAAACTATTTGTTACATTGCAGGATTCCAATATGTCCCAGAAAGTGTTGTGATTGTCTTCTTAGGAGCACTTATAGGCTTGATAATGAATACTTTATCTAGCAGAAATATTTCAAATTGGAGGAAAGAAGAGGCATTTTCACCAACTGCCTTCTTCCTGATACTATTACCACCAATCATATTTGAATCAGGATATAACTTACATAAGGGGAATTTCTTCCAAAATATTGGGTAAGTTGATGGAACAAAATCATAATCATTGTATTTTTTTATTTGACTAAAGTATATCCATTATTCAACCCTGTTTTGTTGTGTTTTATAACATATTGATTTCTTATATTGTTATATTATTCTTTATCTTTGCAGATCTATACTAGTCTTTGCTATATTGGGAACTACAATATCAGCATTTGTGATAGGCTTTGGTATATACTTTCTGGGTAAGATTACTTATTTTCTATCATATGTCTAACATATTCCAAGTCTGGTCCAAGAGTCTCGACATTCATTCTCATTTGTTTTTTAAATCTGTACTTTTACAAATGAAGGGTATTATTGTTTTAGGGCTGGCAGACGTCGTTTATAGATTAGGCTTTGTCGAGTCATTTGCCTTCGGATCTCTAATTTCTGCAGTAGACCCTGTAGCAACTGTAGCTATTTTCCATGCCCTGAATGTTGACCCAGTTTTGAACATGCTGGTCTTTGGTGAGAGCATATTGAATGATGCTATTGCTATTGTACTCACAAATGCTGCACTGGAGTCAAATAATCCTAGTATGAGTACTGGAGAAGCTATTGTTTTGGGTAAGTACATACTCCATTTTTAACATTGAAATATTCGAAATTTATATAATGTTTGAATAAAAAAATCAAGATCACTCAAATTAATAATGTATACACCCCTACTGACAACGGTGTGACTAAGTTCACAGCATAGTAGAAAAGAAGAAAAGAAATTGTAAAGATGAGAACTTGTTATTCATAATTATTTTTGTGTTTTAGGCATTCAAAGATTCTGCTTGATGTTCTTCGCTTCAGCAGGCATAGGAGTTGTGTTTGCTCTGATCAGTGCTCTATTACTGAAGCATGTAGATCTAAGGAAGAACCCATCTCTAGAATTTGCAATGATGCTTGTTTTTACTTATGCACCATATGTACTAGCAGAAGGTGGGTAATTCTAATATTTAATATCGCATCATTTTTCAATAAATTGTAGCACCTCATAACTCAATCAAATGCTCAAAGTCTTATATACACATGGTGAGAAAATGTGCTTAATATATTAATGAATATATTTTTTAGGTATTCATCTGTCTGGAATTATGGCAATTTTATTCTGTGGTATTGTGATGTCCCACTACACTCACTTTAATCTGTCAACTGTCACACAAATTACAATGCAACAGACACTCAGGACTCTGGCCTTCATTGCAGAAACATGCGTTTTTGCATATCTAGGTTTGGCATTGTTTAGCTTTAAACACCGCGTGGAACCTGCCTTAGTTGTATGGAGTCTCATTTTATGCCTAATAGGTAAGTTTAAATAAATATAAGAATATTTTCATAACTTAGACGTGCTATTGATTAACATATTATGTATTTGGGCGTTCAGATACATCTTCCAGCATCACAGCCATATTTCCAAGTCTGATAGCAGTAATTCCCTTAGAAGCAATAAAAACAGTCTCCATGTTCATTTTAAAGAAAATTGTTTATTCTTAAACATGACATCAACCTTCCAAGAAAAGACTACTCGTCAGGCCCCCCTCGTAATAATTCGTACGGTTTCATATCCTCAGAATTTCTCAAATGAAAAAAACGAAATCCCCTTACCAGCACCAACATTCGGAAATGTGGCAATGCTGACACTTTAGGATGGTGATTGACACATATAACTGCAATTTTTGTTGTTGTAGGAAGAGCTTGTAATATTTTCCCACTGGCATACTTGGTGAACAAATTCAGAGAACACCAAATCACCAGGAAAATGATGTTTATAATGTGGTTTTCTGGACTTAGAGGAGCGATTTCCTATGCTCTGTCACTCCATTTGAATTTTAGCGATGAAACTAGACATGTTATTATAACAACAACACTGATCATAGTGTTGATAACGACACTCTTCTTTGGAGGTTCAACCATGCCACTACTGAAGGTGAGTTATTTATCCAGTGGTAAGACAATTAATAGTAAAAAATGACAACTGTGCGATCTACATATCCCATTTATCGGATATCACTCTCTGTTAACAGATGTTATTGACAAATGAAGGAAGAATAAACTGTTATTTTATTCTTACTACACTACACTATTGAGATTAAAGAATTTTATTAGATTTTAGAAGTTCCTGTCATCTTTGACAATTTAGGGGAATTATTCAGTAAATTTAAATTTTCTAAGATTTGGTAGATTTGAATTTTATATGTTTTCAATGCATTTCATTCAAGCATTTTGTCTATCCTTAGGTAAATAATGAAGCATCTAGGGGTATATCATGAATATTAATTGTATTCTATCAAATTTATATGTTTTTTAATATTTGGAAACTATTTTTGAGTGGGGTATAGCTTCATATAGCTATTCTTCTTGAATACTTCAATAATCTTCATAATATTGGAAAATGTATTCAGGGTTAATTGAAGGAAATTAAAATCAACGGCCAAATAGATATTCCAAAGTATTTGTAAAATAATTTGAAAATGTCAAGAATGTGATGCAAATTCGAGTATTTTGTGATATTACATGTATTAGTAGTAAGGGTAAAAAAAGAGAATTATCGATTATTAATGTGACAGCGAACAATTCATTCATTTAAGCTGGCTAACCTTGCTAGTTTGAACCGAATAAACAGAACAACTGCAAGTAAGTGGAAGCAAGTGTCTTTTAGACGAAAGAATGTCGTCTTGCAATTGGAAGAACTTGCATACAATTGTGTTGTGGACTGTAAAACGGTTTTTATACTTATGGAGATGAAAAAATCGAAACTGCGCAAGACAGCAGCTCAGCATTATGACAATGTCATGGAAGTTTCGATTTCTCATTTTTGTACCTAGTTCGAGACGGTAATTATTAATCTCGCATATTATCACGATAATGCTCCTTGTCACACAGCAATTAAATAAACGAGTTTTTGGCGAGTAAAAACATTCCTGTAGCTGCTCAGCCTCCTTAATCTCCTGACTTGAGTCCTTGTTACTTTTTCTTTTCCCGAAGTTGAAAAATCACCTCATTTTGGGACAGTCAAAAACATTCAAAGGGATGTTACCATCTCCAGCGCTGCGTGGATTCAGAATGAAGTCATTTTGAGTGTGACAATAAAATTATATTTGGATATAAAAAATCAGTCTCATCACATTTACAGACCTCATATTCCTCGGCACTACGTATCTCAGATTATAAAAGTGCTCGCCCAATAATGGCTTTCAAACTATATATAATCTACAATTTTTTTGTTCATACAAACCACCAAAAATCCTCGTCGCCTCAAAAAATACAAAGATTGATTTAGGTAATGTACTTTCTTTTAGTTCATGCAAGCCACCAAAAATCCTTCTCGCCGTCTCAAAAAACGCAAGAAGGATAGAGAAGTGACATTGAGTAAGACTAGAGAGTGGGGACAAGCTCTGGATTCTGAGCATTTGTCAGAAACTACTGAGGGTGAAATGGAGGTGACTTTCACTTCAGATAGGATTAAAGGCTTCGTCAAGTATGACTTGAAGTATTTCATACCTTTCTTCACTAGGAGGTTCACACAACAGGTGAGAAAAACAAATAGAATATTGAATGGAGTATTTTCCAAAACTTTATTCTGGCGCGGTATCAGTATTTTACATATGAAAGAAATATTCTGGATGCTTTCACTTCTTCTATGAATGAATAATGCAAAACTTGTTTTTTATACTCTGTTCTGAGAAGTTGACTACTTTTGCAATGGAGGTTAGGCTTCTGTCATATGTGAGAAATAACCGTTATTCTCTGACGTCTACAGTTTGACATTTGACATGAAATGTATGGTCACGTTATATCGCTATTGGCTGGTGTTTTCGACGGAAAATATAAGGGATTTAAATGAATTCTCTTTGAATTTTAGATGCGTTTTCCCAATGCACGAGCAAAATAACGGGAGCTAACTGCATCATTCAATGGGTAGAAACAATTTATTTCAGCTGATAAAAATGCTAGTTTGTCTAGGTGGAGAAAAACTCATTTTATTGCCATATTATTTCTAACATCTATAACAACACTATAGTTAGAATTCATAAGTGTTAACAGTCAATTAGTCGCATTGGGCTAGACAACATTGTAGTATGAATCTGTTGGTCACTGCTGATACCCCTTGTTGGTATTTGTTATAATAATCTCCTAGAACATAGGTTTAACCTATCATTGATGTACCTATGATAATTATATTAAAATATACGTCTTTCATTTTTTCTGTTTATACAATATAAATCGGAAAACAAGATCACTTTTAATAAAAATGTGTGCTCAAGGAGATAGCATACTAATTGTTGGTGAGGTAGATTAAAGAGCTGATATTGTACCTACAGCTTTTCGGCTTTCCGACATTTTACAAATTTCACCAAATTTGACGTTTTTCTACATTCTGTCTGCCAATGAAAATTAAGGAGCGGGTTGTGGAAGGTGCGTTGATCGGAAATTGAATTGTTTAAAATGCCACAGATTGAAAATTGGACAATATTTACCATTTTTTTTAAATATGGTGGACTTGGGCGTCCGGGGGTTATCATTATTTAATAATTCACACGATTGGCCAACTTGAAAAATTTCGTCCTTATGCCGCTGATAACCGTTATTCTATAAATTCGCGTTATAGAATTGGTTGTGATAATTCATGACTTACGTGCATGTATCAAAATACTGCAATAGTATGAATTGCTGATTTCTATCTTCACGCAGGAACTGAAAGACTGCAAGAGCCAGATGACAGACCTGACGAACCAATGGTATCAGGCGATACGCATCTCGCCCGACCAATCTGAAGATGAAGATAGACTTACAACCAATACCGGACGATCTTCGATATCAAGCATAGTCCGCTGACCTTCCGTCCGCGTAGAGGTAAAACCGCACCGTTTCATTTACAAAAGAAAATCTGTATAAATGTCTTTCATTGAACACAAAGGAAGATGTTCTGGAAGTAGAGACTTTCCTTTTCAGACGTTTGAAAAGACAAAATTACGATTAGTTCTCACTGTTCATTTAAGAAATTTCTATTACTTGCTTTTAAATACTGTTCGAAGTTGTCGCTATTCGATTCAAATACAAATTTATTAACATCTCCTCAATTTGCAACATTTGGAGCTGTCTAGGTCTTCTATTGCGCGACGTTCTTATAAACGGCCGATGCACGAGATAAACACACCTAGGCTGAGCGGGATGGAACCTTCCAGGAAAACTATCGGAATACACTGACAACTATTATCAAACCGACAAGTTCGTTATTGCTACAAGGATGTGCCTTTGATGGTTTTTCAAATCTAGTTTATGAATAAACATCTTGGCTTACGCGAATGGTGCGTGAAACGTGGATTGGGTACTGACATTTTCACCTAATCATATGCAGGAGCCAGGGCCTTATTTGATATCGTATATTTTTTGGGAACATAATAAATCGCTTAAAACTTTTGTGTTACTAGAAAAGAAATTGCTTATTTACATTACATTACATATTACAAAAAACTACACGCTGCTGTAGGAAGGAAAGTCCCAACTTTAAGAATGCCATGTATTGACTTTTGACTACGAGTTTTTATACAGGGCTTCTCCTAAATATACTGGAAAGATTTATAGGAATATTTTCTTGAAAGACGGTTTCTGGAAAACCACTTCGTATCGAAAATCTTGGAAGGCCAATATATTTACGATAAAACACTTGCATTCCTACTGAAGGTGTCTAGTTATTCTCTGTTGGTAAGAAGTTTCACAAATGATTTTTGCCGTTGAAAAGTGTTATGCAAAATATTGTGTCTTCAAAAGGTGCAAGATAGTCCTCAAACATTTGCTCTATGTTTGGGAAGCACTCGTATCACTTTTTATATTAAAACAAGTTTTACTATATTTCTTAAAGATTTTTAGAACATTATTGGAACTAGATGAATTTTCAAAAATCTGTGCTTTGTATGTAATACTTACTCTTTAGCCCAAAGTTTTTCCTTTGTTTTGGTGATGAATGGCTGATTGTTTTGTAAATAACAAAAGTATTGTAAATAAGTATTGTTATGTGATACTCGTTCTTGTATAGAATTGTTTGGCTTTAAGCGAAAAATGTCAAATGTACTTAAAACTTTTACCTGTGAGGTAACCAAATGTTGATTTTTGTTATAAATAGAGTGTATCACAAATTAACTGTGTTTTCTGTTATCAACATGGTATCTCCTTAGTAAGTGGTTAGTACGCAACAAGAGGCCTATCTGGGTTAGTTTGGAAAGAGCCTACTATTTAATCACATATTGAAGCAGCAAACATTATAGCATGTTTTCATATACAGGGTGTTCATTTGAATACTTCCCACAACGGATTTATTGAAAACCACTGATTAAAAGAAAAAACGCCGAGACACGTCAAAAGATTTTTCAAGGGAGATAACTTTTTAGCCAAAAACTACTTCACCCTCTGCTCCCCAGGGTCACCCCCTTAAAAATTTTAAAAGACAAAGGGATACCGAGTAATACCTGGTTTGAAGGGTCTTTCGAGGTCCTTTATTTTGATGTTTGATTTTTTTAAATCTGTCGATTCGTTTTCAAGAAAATTAGAAAAATCTTTATTTGTATCAATTTGTTCAGATAGAAAACAAAAGCACACGAAAATATCACTTTTTCAATAAGTGTTCAAAATGTTGCCAGTTATTGGCCAAACAATGGCTTAGGCGGTGTTTAAATTCCTGGGGGACATTTTCAAAAACATGTTGTGGGATATCATGGCGGCTTTCGATGATGCGTTGATGTATTTTTTACGACTAGAGTGTATCTAAAATGTTTTTGAGAAAATAAATTGTTTCAGAAGTAAATAGTTTCGTCATGTTTACAGCCTATCAAAGCTCCGCTCCGCGAGAATATTTTTATTCCGATGATTCCGTCTGTACGCTACGCGTGACGTCACACTTCAGTATCCAGTTGCAACGCCCGCGGTCGATACCTGAGCAGGAGCCGACTCAATCTGCTAAACACATGCATAGGCACACATATAGGAGGACACATGGTAGGCTAAACGTCTTCCGCCCCAATTTGTTTAATTAGTTGACTGCATATACGATCCGTTATGAGCGATAAGAAAAAAAGGTTTTTATAACTACTGTAGCGTTCCAAAATGTACGAGCACAACAATTACAACCCTTAATAAACATTTTTTCTACGTACCTTCACATGAAAATATAATGAAGAAATGGTGTAAACTTATGAAGCGTGATTTGACTGGGCCAAAAAGTACAACCTATGTCTGTGAGGACCACTTTGATACGAGTATATCTCTTTACTATTTATTTATGATTTTAGTTATTATATGATTTCCAAGCTCACTTCACTGTACACGCGGCATTTGGAGATGAAATATTTATCAACTAATATTACAGGTCACTTATTTCAACTTGGCGAGAATAGCTGTGAACTACTATAGTGTCACTTACCCCCCTAAAAAGGCGTCAAGTAGGTTGACTCTTTACTGTGTGCATGTGTAATGTTATTGTATACATTAATGAAATTTTAGAAAAGTATCGTGTCACATTCGCAAATCTGTACTCATATTAAGCATCAACAGTAATTTGTTTAAAACCTCAGTAGGGTATCGCACATTTTGTCGCTAGTTGTGATAGCGAAGCAGGAGACATAAATACTTGCTTCAAAAGTTTCACACTTTTAATTTCGGCGCTTGTATATGATGGATTTGAAGAAATGAATTCCATCTCTGCATAAATGTCAATTTTGGGCAAATTGTCTCTTAAACCTTTTACAAATCCGACTTCCATGATGGTATGAGCTTCCGCAGTACTCAATAGTTATCAACTGGAAATAACGTGTGCTATAATGCGCCAAATTTAAGTATCAATTTCTCTGTCATTTATTGGCCGATTTCAATAATTTTTTTGCAGTCTCTATTTTGCTAGTATGTCATTACTTATGCGATTCTGAATAACACGAAACTTCTCCATTGTTAACTATTAACCAACAGTTACTATTAATTAATGCAAGTTTGTTTTAGCAAACACCCCAAAGGGGGGGGGGGTTAGTCAATGACGTCGAGCGGATTAACGGAAATAGTCCGGTGAAGTGATCTTCGCAAGTTGTCGAACAGTTTAAGGATGTTAGTTAAATTTTGTGAGGCATTATTACAATGTTTTGAAACAATGAGAAAACCAGAAATTTGTATTTTAGAAGCAGATATCTGTACTTGGAAAACGAAAGAATCTGATTTCTTAACAAAAATGGTAGAATTTTAAGCCTCTCACCATTATTTTAGTTCTATCGGAGTTGCGAAAGAAGACAATGCTTTTATAAAATACAATTTTATTACATCAACAATCGTTTACAATACAAAAAGTATACAAGATACAAAAATTAAACATTTCACAGTGCAAATTAACTCAAAGATGGATAATTTCTGTTTATAATAGTAAAACTAGTTTTCATAAATAATAAATCAAAAATTAATTGCACTAGGTGCATAAATACAAATATAAAAAATAACATTTCCAAGAAAAAAATAAGACCGATTATGTCATAATACACCACAAGCTTTTTTGGAGAAGATTCAAAAGTAATTTCAATGAACATGTTTTTCTAAAATAAGAGTTAATACGATAAATTACGCTTTGGGCATTTCTAACATGTTCCGCAAAATGACTTCTTCTATGTGACATAATCCGTCTTTTTAAGCTTTTTTGTGAACATGTATAGAATTTGATCAGTGATTCACCATTTTGAATAAGGCACTTCTACTAAGCAAAATGGAAGCGATATACAGTATTCAGGTTTCTAACATACATCAGCAATTCATATCCTATACTATATAAAGAGAGACATACATAAAATGCTTTCGTTTTTAGTCTTGTTTTGCCCGAATCTTCCGTTTTTATGCGTTTTTTCAATTTATTTTTGTATGCAATAATCTGTCCAATACTAAAAGTGCATAAACATTGGCTACATATCATCCTGTATATACGTATTCTCAACAACAATGAAGGCCATGGAAGGGAAAATTAAAAATAATAAGCTGCCATTTTACGTCTACTGTACTAGAATTTCGTATTCGGGGAAGGACTTTTCTTCACCTCCATATGGTATGTAGCAAACGCCGTGAGATGGTTGGACTTTGCCCACTACCAGCGCACCATCGTGAACGACCCTTCCTACGTAAAGTGGCTCGCCGTCTTCTGATTGCCCTGAAACAAAAAAAAAAATCACGTCAACTAGGATGACTCTGCACTTTCCACGCTGTAAGGATTATGTTCAGCGCAAGTTAGCAGCTCCGAGCAAAAAGTTAGCTACCAACGTATGTATAACAAAAAAAAAATGGATCAAGTCAAACAAACAGGCCCATACAATTATTGCAGAGTCCACCCATTTCATGAAGCTAGAAAGGCGCAGCAGGACTGTGCGAGCGCGAACAATACGCGACGCGTGTGTTGAGAATATTTCTCCAAGTTTTGAGGGAAAAAGTGCGGGTAAATCTGTGATGTGTGAAATATACAAAGTAATCCATAAACCACTGACGTCGTACTATGTACGAGAGAGAAGCGCGAAAGGCATGCAATCCTTATGTTATAAAGAGATATAAGCACCAGGTTGCCTTGAAACCCGAGTGATGACGCCACGGCTTGCCGCGTTACCATCGGCGCACTCTTTCTAACATTCATATTGCACTCTTCTCGCGCTTCTGTCTCGTACACATTACCTCGTCAGTGATATTTGGATGTATCTGTATACGATTGTGCGTAGAATTGTCGGGGTTTAAATCATTATGTACTTATGTACTTTAGTTTGAAGGTAAGATAGAACGTAGAGGTAAAATCATTTCCCCCAAAAATTTCAAATCCCTACTTAAAAGAGAGCCTCTTCTAAAACTTCACGGTTCATAGAATTAAGAGGCAGGGTATTTCACAACTTAACCGACACATTTTAACCTCATATGCACTGTTACGAAAGAAGTTGATTTCTCAAAAAAAATGTATTAAAAGTCTTACAGAAATTAAGTTATAAACCTGAGTTTCAATAATAAATTGAAATATAAATATATATCTGTATTTTGCATTCATCGTCATGATATTAAAACAGGCATTAATAATTTATTGTAGCAAATGTACAACTGACGAAAGCAAAATACCAGGATTTTTTTGTTTTTTTCATACTGATAAGAACGTGTAAATAAGGGTTTAATCCATATCGTGGGTGATCTGAATGAAGAATGTTCGATTTTTGTGAAGTGAAATAAGAAAGTATTTTGCGAGTTTATGTTTTTAGTTATTAATAAAAATGGCACATGTGCACACTAATGAGGAGTTAGTGGACATTGTTTTAGCGTATGGAGAAGCAGGGCAAAATTCGCGAGCGGCTGCTCGTTTGAATGCACAGCGATTTCCGAATAGGCACATACCACATCACGAAACATTTGGTTCAATTGTTTTACGTGCACGTGCTAGTGGAGATTTCCGCAACAGACGTGGAGTGGATGGGGTCGGGTTCGCACACAAGAGTAAGATTTTGTGAGTGGTTGTTGCGAGAAAATATTCTAAATGCCCGTTTGACAGCTGATATTTTGACCACCGATGAAGCTATTTTTACTCGTAATGGGATAACCAATCTTCATAATACACGCGTTTGGTCCTTTGAGAATCTGCACGCAGTAGTCCAGACACACTTCCAACATCGTTTTCCTTTAAACGTGTGGGCTGGTATTGTCGATGAACGTCTAATTGGACCTTTCATATTGCCAGATCGGATGGATGGTCACCAGTATTTGGAATTTCTTCAGAATGATTTGCCATTGGCGGTCCGAGCACGGATGTGGTTTCTGCACGATGGGGCAACTCCGTATTTTCGTTTAGAAGTTCGTGATTTTTTGAATCAGGTATATCAGATACGCTGGATCGGAAGGGGTGGACCAATTGCATGGCCTCCACGGTCTCCCGATCTACATCCCCTGGACTTCTTTTTATGGGGACACTTGAAAAACGAGGTATACCGTACTCCAGTTCAGAATATTGAAGAATTGCGTGACTGAATCACAGTGGCTGCCGATGATTTGAGCCTTCAGGCACAGCAGGTAGAAGGTGTATTTGAATTATTGTGCCGAAATTGGATTAGACGCGCCCAAGCTTGCATTGCAGTAAATGGAAACAATTTTGAAAAGCTTTCATAAGTAAGTGAACTGTTAAACTGTATTATTTTATCATCTCGATTTCTGTAGGGCTTTTATTACATTTTTTTTGAGAAATCAACTTCTTTCGTAACGGTGCATATGTGGTTAAAATTTGTCGGGTAAGTTGTGAAACACCCTGTATAAACAGGTAGCCTTTAGGATAAGTTCTCATAACGATTAGAGATACTTACTAATCGGAAAGTTGTGTACTTAGTTAAAAATACAGACAATGGAAGTCCAAAAAATGAGTTTATATGTATGTACTACCACCAAAAAATTGAGATACACCCTCCCGTACCCCTACAACCCCCAACCCACCAGTTTTTCCCATACCAAAAATTTTCTGAAAATAATCAGGAGCCTCTGAATCATAAAAAACTAAATTTGGTCGATTTTTATTTTTTTCTTTTATCGAAACTGGACCGATTTTCCAAAATTTGTTCGTCATCGACATAGAGTAAAATTTTATCAGAATCTAAGCAGTAATTTTGATATAGGCAGATAGATAGATGTCATATATCATACAGAAACATATCTCATTTTCGAAATTTTTCGCGATTACCTATACCATATCATATCGCCAGTGGCGTTAGAAGTAACAATAAATGAAAAATCCACGTTAGAGTGACGAAGAAATATCGCAGTATTTTTCCCATTATATGTATAGGGACCACACAATCGAAAGTGGTCGTTACTCATAAGAGAAATTTTTTTTGGAAGCCCTACTATGACTTTGCCTGAAAGATGAGGAACATGCGGATACATGAAATATTTAAAGGTAGATACAAAAATATGTGCTATTTTTCATCAGCATAGCTTGTAGGAAAACTTCAAACATTTTATAGTGGCATCACGTACATTTTTTATGCGTATGTATATATCAACTCCCAGTTCTTTCCAACCAACTTCATGTGTCGAAAAAATCAATAGCTCGTACTTACCAGCTGTTAAGGCATTTGGTGGTATATTTCCTCCAGAACAAGCGACCCACTGTCCAGGGAAGTCACAGAGTACCTAGAAGCAAGAATAAGCATGGCATGAAATTTGATCAGTTTCAGAGTTTCAATTCATGCATGTATTATTTACAACGGATTTTAGTTTCAATTCACGCATGTATTCCCTTTCTTCTAACTCTGTTATTGCTAATTTCATTCTGATTCTTGCAAACCACGTCTTCGAAGTGTTTTTGAAGAGAACTTTTAATCCTTACCTCGTACTCGTTGACAGAGTTCTCCTGCCCACCCCAAGCGACATAGGAGCACCCGTGACTGCTCACCAGCTTGCCGGGAATCAAACCACCGTTAAACTGCGCCCTGACTATGTAGACAGGCTCTCCGTTGTCTTCACCACCCGCGAAGGCTCTGGGGGGCACCTGACCGCTGGATGCTGGAGTCCAGCATGCGGTGGAGATTTGTCCTGGAGCTGCAAAGCCTCCGGCGTTGCCGCCTGATGGAAAACCTCCTCGGGCTAGAAAGAAAGGGAAATATTTACTCTTGTTTTTCTTTCAAGAGTGCACTGTTTTCGAAAAATATAAATAAAATAAATTAGATCATTCATGAAGAGACGAGATACAATTTATTAGGAGGCCTTGATACCAACTTGACATGTTATCGTTACTACTACGATTTTTGAGTGTTGTGAATTGGAATTTAGCAATGATGAGTATCTCGTTATTATTTTTTTCTACGGGTTTTGCGTGTGCTAAGGAACGGGCAATGTGGACTAGCGAAGACTGATTGCGTGGTTGACCACCGATCTCGGGTTATAAGAAACAAAAATGAAGCGTTCCATAAAAACTGCCTAAAGAGAAAAGTTTCCATCAGGGTTAATGGTATGGGGAAGCATATCTGCTATTATCGTTGGAAAACTTCACTTCATGAATGGAACTGTAAACCAATTTGTTAGTGTCAATTCCAATTTTATCACCTGATAGAAACTTTATTTTTCAACAAGATGGGGCGTCATGTCATACGGCTAAAACCACGAAAAAATGGTTGCAGGATAATAATATTTCCGTCCTTGACTGGCCTTCCAGTAGTTCTCAGTTTAGATATTATCGAAACTGTATGGCACAAAATGAAGCAGCAGTTAGAAAATGATCCACAATGAAACATTGCCGATTTACGAGTACAATTACAAAATATATTGGATTATTTTAAGGCGAAAAACTGCGAAAACCTTGTTAAAACCATGCAAGCCAGAATTAATGCTATTATTAAGGCAAAGGGAGACGTAACGAGCTGTTGAAATGGTTCGTCCGCACATTTATGTGTCAGCCAAATATTGTTGTTATCAATATTAGTTTAGTTTTATAGTTTAATATCACATTACTTGATAATAGTTTTGAAAATACGATGTCCAAACAATATATTTCAATGTCATAAAAAAATATTTTGTAACCTTGAAAAAATAAACAAACTTTAAGATAAAATGTCCGAACTATTTTGTGTTAGGGCTCGTACTACAAATAAAACTTCTATTCCATCTTACCTTGTGGAGGTTCGATCTGCCAGGATCCAGTTGCACCCCAACCGGTACAAACACCGATGTACTGAATGTTGAGAACTTCATGGTCGGTGTAGCTTAGGAAGGGTGGGATTTCGCCTTCTCGGCCTACTGTGATCGTGGGTCCCTGCCAACGGACCCAGAACCCCCTGAATTCGTTCTCGTTCAAAATGCCAGGGGTGGGGGTTTCGGCGACGTCAGGCTTGGTGCGGTTCTTGCGGATGACTGATCTACTGTTGCCCCAACCGCCGATGAAGATCTAAACAAAATAGAATACTATTAAGGTAGAACAAACAAAATGTTGAACACTTAAGATGAACATGTTTAGGTCAAAGATTCCATATAATTGAAATTAGGGATGCGAAATAAACATCATTTCTAACACTGCTTGACAGTTTTAATAGTCAGCTTTTCATGAGGTATTACAATATTTCTAACAGGTAATTAGATCGGAATATCTTGAAAACAGTTCTCAACAACATTTTGCAGGTGTGTTAGGTACTATATCGAAACTCTTACTCTTTCCAACATTTTTTGTTTTACTACCACTGGCGCTCCCACGGAGGGGGGTAAAGGGGGTAATTAACCCCCCCCCCAGACGACTCCAGCAGTCTTTGAAAAGGTGGTATAAAGTAAACCCGCTCAGTGCGCACGCGACTAACGACTACTCTCCCACCAACAGCAACGGTGTGCGCTTCTTCCTAGTCTAGTCTTTTATGGTCTAGTCTAGTGTCTAAATTCTGTACCAGTCCGGAGTCCGCAACAAAATTTGGCTGAGAAGTGAACAAGCGGAGTTTTGTTGATCTGGTTGGTATTAACGCTATTTTCTATGTTCTATTGATTTTTTATTTTCCACGCATAAGCCAGAAAATTAATTTTTGTTTGTTTTTAATGTTTATACTGTAAAAAAAGCGTGTCTAAAAAAATGACAGACGGAAAAATGGAAATTTAATATAATTTGAATTACGAAGTGTTTGGTCCATATTCCAGCTATCATTATCATCTATGTCTATTTTGTCGCGGAAGTCCCTGTATATAAGCACTTCAGTGCATTTCGCAGAATACCATCGATTGGTTCTTTCTAAACAAAACAAATTGTCTGATCCACCGGCACAAGAATTACCGGAAAAAACTGATGATCATCCTACAATTCAAACTGAGCCTTCCACTTCAAAATTTGTTGATGTTGCACCGTATGCTGAACCAAGTGTTGAGCAATCGGGTGCGAAACCTAAAGGATCCAATTTTGTTGATGTTGCGCCATATGTAAATATAAGCGGCAACTTGTCTTCCCATGAAAAATATACCTTATCGAGGTGTGCAATGATCCCTAATATCCCCATTCCACACACTTGAAAAGTAATAAAGAAGTGACATGTTACTTATCAAAAAAACACTTTGAGAAATTTCCTTGGCTGTCATATTCAGGGGAGCTACAAGGCTTTTCTGTAAATATTGCGTCGTTTTTGCAAAATTAGGAGGAGTACATAAATCAACTAAATTGGGAAAATTTGTTACCGTACCACTAAAGAAATGTTCGAAATTGTATGGCAAAACCGGTGATTTTGAGACATATGAGAACTCAATATATCATACAGAAGCAGTTCCAGATGCTACAAACTGTTTAAAGATTTACGAAAATCCAGAGAATGATATAAGAAATATAATAGGTTCAGAGCGAATTAAGCAAGTATCAGAAAATCGGCAAAGATTGACTCCTATAATCTACAATTTTTTTAGGACGCCAAAATATACCACTTAGAGGGCATAGAGATAGTGGACGACTTTTTTCTAATGACAGCACGAATGACGAGGATGTCCTTATTAATGATGGGAATTTTAGAGAACTAATACGGTTAAGAGTCGAGAGCGGCGACAATTTATTGAAAAACAAACTTAGAGAATCCAAAAGCGCATGCTACGTACATAAACAGGCGCATCCAAAATGAAATTATAGAATGTTGTAGAGAAGAAATCTTGAATGTAGTTTTAAGTCGCGTCAGGCAGTCAGTATTACAGTATTATATTTCACGAAACTACAGACAGCCGTAAATCACAAATGTCAATCGTATTGCGGTATCGTTATCAAAAACATATTTACGAGGACTTCATTAGATTTGTGGATTGCTACTCAAATTTTGATGAAGATACAATGGTGCCCAAACTCACAGGTCAAATTCTTGCTCAAACAGTCAAGCATTTCATTAAAACCAATAACTTAGACTCAAAACTATGTGTGGGCATTGGTACTGATACGTGTAACCTAATGTTAGGTGAACACAAGGGCGCTGTAATGGAATTGCAAAAATGTTTGCCAAATGCTAAAAAGCCCATGCGCAAATCATGCCTTGAATCTTTTGATTTCAAAAAGCAGCAGTGTCCAAGCAGTAAGAAATACTGTGTGTATAATGAAGGAAGTAACTGTGTTCTTCAAAGCATCCGCTAAAAGAAATACAGTATTAAAAAGAAAAGTAGACGGATATCAAATTCATAGAATGTTCGAAACACGATGGACCAAGAGACATGATTATGTGCTCCAATTAGAGAAAATTGTGGAGGTACTAAATATTATATCAAATTGGAAAGACCGCGAAGTTTCTTCAAAAGCGGAGTCTTTGAAGACTGCCATTACTTCCACCCAGTTTATCGTATCACTAAAGTGTTTGTGTGATATATTAGCTTTAACAGTCAACCTGAGTAAGATTTTACAATCAAAAACAATTGACAAACAATACGCTGTCAAACTCATAGGAAATATTATTTCAGTTGTACAAGAAAGACGCGCAAATTCCGAAAAACACTTTAGAATACTATTCGCATCTATAATGAAAACACATGAAACCCTGGATATTGAACCGACTGTGCCAAGAATAACAAGCAGGCAAATGAACAGACCGAACATAGTTACGTCTGACAAGGAAAATCATTACAGACTGAACCTATATGTCCCTTTGCTAGATAATACTCGTATTTGGTATACCGGTTCAATGAAGAATCTTTGAATATATACAATTTTAATATTTTCTTTGCGTCAGCATTCAATTTAAAAACTGAAGCTGGAGTAATGGACATATTAGAAACAATCTCTAAATATATGCATGGACTAAATAGTAACGAAAGTACCAGATTAAAAGCAGAATTTGACCTTTGGAAGTCACGTACACAAGATATTAGACACTGGAATGTCACTGTATTTATCATGTGATGAACATTTTTCGTTCAATTAATAGATGCCTACAATTATTGATTTCATTGCCGGTAAGTGGTGCGACATCTGAAAGAAGTTTCTCCCATCTAAAGAGGATAAAAACTTGGCTGCGCTCCACTACGTCACAAGAGCGATTAGTTTGTTTAGCTCTTTTTTATATGCATAGGGATATTAAAATAGACGTGAATACAATCATAGGTCGGTTCACCAGCAAAAAGAATAGGCGCCTTGATTTTGTAATTTGATAACACCACAACTTTGCCTAAGGTTGTCTCTCAAATCCATCTCTTTTCTGTTGGCCAATAAATAAAAAAGCAGATGTAGTTAAGGGTTTACTTAAGTTTAAACCACCACTGTTCAAATCATTTTCTAAGCTAATGTAATGATTGTTTTATTTTGAGACTCTGAACTGATGTAGTTTCATAGTTTATATGTTCTTGTTTTTTGAGACTGGGTAAGAAAATGTAGTTATGCAATGAATATTTTTTGTGTTTTTCTCATGATTAAGAATTTTATTTTGATTTACATTCAGTTTTATACTTTATAGAAGTCGTTTGTTATTGTTATTTTTTTCATGAAGATGTATTTTTTGTTGTTTTGTCTGATATTGTTATGTAGAAAAGTCTGTGATAGATTATATTATTTTGCATTTTTGTTTTGATATATGAGGATTGCTCGAGCTTGGTTTGCTTAATTTACACTTTGATTTAGTATGACTCAAAATTAAAAAAAGTTTGTATGTATTTCCTACAGAAATTACTGTAACAAATTCATATGTCTGCATATGTCCATGCTTTTAATGTTAAATCATTATAACACTTCAGTACGTCACACTGAGAATTTACTTTCCACTTTACCCCTCCCAGACTGAAATCCTGGGAGCGCCACTGCTTACGACAGCGAAGTTATTTCATTTGGTTGTTTCAGTTGACTTATCGTGAGTCTTAAACTTCAACTAGGATTTGTCCAGTTAGTCGTAGAAGTGAAAATGCAACCAACAAAATGATTTTCAGGAAATTTAGTCAAACTCCGAAACGACTAAAAGAACCCTAGTTGAAGTTTCATACGGAAAAGTTCTTTAAGACCTTGGCCAAAATCATCAGCTACCCCCGAAGATCAACTGGGTGTCAAGTCCTGCAGGAATGTGGTTTTTTCTTACCTCGTACATAGGCTCCACTTCAGCAGCAGTTGGTGTGAGAGCAATGTGAGCGTCATTTGGGGCTCTGACTCTAAACTGAGCGAAGCCAGTGTTGTTTGGGAAGAAGCTGTATTCGAGCTTGTCTTCGGTATCAAGTTCTGTAACGAAAGAAGACACACAAATCATGAAAATTGATCTAGGAACCTTATATGGTAGAATGGTATGAAAAAATGGAGTAGAGTGACTGACACACATTGGTATAAAACTTTTGCCAATTTCTGACTACGCCCTAAAATAATCACAAAATGCGCCTAAGAACGAGGTTTTCAGTTTTTTCAAACTAGACCCTTCAAAAGTGATTTTGACTACGACCGAAACATCGACTAATTAAATTTGAAGACACTCCAAAAATGTTCGGTTTTTGGTTATAACTTCGCTGGCACCTTGCATACCTTTTGCGCCATTGGCTATGGTTGGAACTTGTAACCTAGTAATAAATTCTCAAAATCGTGCGAAAACTTCAAGTAGGTTGACTCTGCACTTCCTACGCTACGCCATCAGTTCATAAATTTCAGCGCCATTTAAATCGTCTGAGAAAAAAGTCAGTTACGAACATGTACAACAAAAATTGAATGGATCAAGTCAGTCAATCAGTCCCATACCATTAGTCAATAATCATTCTTTCCTTGCCCTACCAGTGTAGTTACTGTCCGTCTGGCAACATTGTCCCTTCACCCAATGCGTGGTATGTGTACGCGAATCGAACACATTTCTCTATCTCAAGCTTTAAAGGCAAATGTACGGGGAAATCTATGACGTGTGAAATGTGGCCAATAGGTGCATAGACTTACCGAGGTTGGGATCATATAAATATACTAAGGTCAAAAAAATTTCATATTCCCTCTCCTACCCCCGAATTTCAACTCCTACGAAAACTTTCCTGAAAATGATCAGGTAGGTCCCTCTTAACGTCAAAATCGAAAATTGATCGAGTTTTATTTTTTCGTTTTTGACTTTTTTCTCTGCCGCCACTGGATTAATTTTCAAAAACTAAAAGCTTTTCCGTTCTTAGTATAGTAGCAACGTTGTGTGAAAATTTCACCAAAATTCTAGGGGTAGTTCTCAAGTTATAGACGGGCTAAGGATTAGCGGACAGTCAGACATACAGACACGCAGAGACAAACCGACGGAAATGAGGAACATAATTTTATAATATCCAAAAAGCATAATATCTCATTTTCGAAATTTTGAGCAATTCCAATACATCTTCGCCCAGTGGCGTAGGAAGTAAAACATAATGTCTTAATTTCGGAATTTTTCGAGATAGCAATAAACTTTTTTTTAATAAGTGGATGAGTATTTTAAACTATCAGGTAACCATATAAATTCGTGCGGTTGATGTATATCACACATTGCCATGGATGTTGTTGATCGATAGCGATTGTTTGTTACCTTTTGTCACTTTAGTACGAATCCTTCTTTTCTCACACACATAAAAAGTTGCTGAAAATTGTTACATACTTAGTTTTAATAATTAATGGAGACGAATAAAACAGTAATTCGAAGTTGTTTACTGTATGAGTACAAACTTGGTACAAAAGCTGCAGCAGCGGCGGCGCGAAAAATATGTACTGCATTCGGAGATGATGCCGTTAGTGATCGAACAGCACAGAGGTGATTCAAAAAATTTTGAGCGATGAACCGCGTTCAGGGAAACCAAAAATCATGAACAACGAGGATCTTCGACAGGTTGTCGACGCAAATTCCAGGACAACGTAACAAGAACTTGCAGAAATGTTCAGAATGAGTCCTGAAACTATTCACTTGCATCTCCATCAGCTAGAAAAGACGTGGAAGTTAAGCAAATGGGTCCCACATGAACTGACAAATGATAATAAAGTGAGTCGTTTTACAATTTGTTCAGCAAACATTTCACGCAACGCTAATGAACCATTTCTTAATCGGTTATTAACCTGCGACGAAAAATGGATCTTGTATTCAAATTTTAAGCCTTCGTATTAATGGTTGTCGCCTACTGATACGGTACCACACACGCCCAAGGTTTCCTTGCACCCAAACAAGGTTTTGTTGTGTTTGGTGGACAGCAACTGGAATTGTCCATTATGAGTTTTTGGAAAGGGGTCAAACCATCACTGCTAACTTACTTACTTCAATGAGTACAAGCTGCACTCATCCAGAAACAGCCTTCTTTGATCAATCGGAAGAAAGTGGTATTCTTGTACAGGATAACGCCAAGCATCATACCGCAAAAGTGACCCGAGAAAAAATTTCTGAACTCGCCTGGGAAACCTTACCGCACCCGCCATATTCTATCGACAGTGATTATCATTTTTTTTTGTCTCTTGACAACTGTATGGGGCACCGACAGTTCACAACTCGAGATGGTGTAATAAATGCAGTCCGCCAATTTTTTGACTCCAAATCCAGGGAGTTCTACAATATCGGCATACAAAAATTGGGTCCACGTTGGCAAAAGGTCATTGAATGTGATGGTAATTACTTCGACGAATAAATAGTGTCTTATTGTTTCTCAATAAAAAATTATATTTTTCTACTAAAAACTGCACGAACTTATTTGGTTACCTGATATTATTATACTGTTGCGTTTTTCTGGGTTCTTTTAGGTGTGGATTAAAACACTGGATTCCACAAAAAGAAATGCACTAATTTATTTAAGTGGATAAAACACCACTATTTGTGTCTGACTAATTCTTATGCCACCATTGACTGCACTATACCTCACTCCGCTCTGCTACTCTACCGTATTCCGTACTCTGCCTCCATCTCCCGGCTGCCGAGTTTTATATAGTTACCGTTTCGAGAAAAACCGGGTGTACCACAAAGCGACATCTAGAATGTTGGAGACCACTTCGCGTCGATCTAGAAGGCGATCCACTGTCACGGTCCTCACAGACGCCGCCAGGCGGCTTGTGCGATCGTGGTTCGCGTAAAAGCAGAGATCGGCAATTAAGCTCTGGCGAGTAGGAGACTCGCCCAACAGATGGCGCTATTTGTCACAATATATTGCGTAAAAGCACCAACGCATTAAAGGTTGTGTCTTCCTGTGTAAAGGAACAAGTCAACTGTGTTCTCCAATAACATCTGTGAGACCTTACAGCTAAGCCAATGTATTGAATAATTATTATTATCGAAATAGACAGGGTCAAAGTGTCAAAAAGATTAATCTTTTTAAGACGCGTCCATAATTTCTCACGGTCATTTGCAATCTTATTTTTCAGTTGCAGAATTCCAGCATTAGGATTCTTGTCAACCATCTGCACAGCTGATAAAATGCAAAGAACACAAGTGATTGGACAGTCAATACTACGATAGTGACATGTCAGATGATCAGCAATCCATATAGGTGCCTCTTCAAGAGAACCTATTCTGATCCGAGAGATTGAGAGCAGCTGAATCTTAGCGCCGCCGCCGTCTAGAGTACTTTTTTATACCGAATCAGTCACGTAAGCGAGAGGCACGAAGCCTAAATACCAGGACACCGCAGCTACTATAAGGAGGTTAAAGAAATTGTTAATCCGATCTTTGACCTGTATAAGGTTAGTCGAAGTGGAAATAGCCTCCTTAGGTAGATTGTTCCACAACATCGGTATCCTAGGGACAAAGGAGCGGTCGTATCGGCCAGTTCTTGGTGTACGAGGTTCGACACGGTCAGGATACTAGATAGGACAAAGGGTCCGTTAGAAAAAAGTCGTCGATCCGTTGTGAACATTATCGTACCTCTTCGCCTAGCTTTTTACCAGCAGCGGCCACTATTGACCAGGTGTGTTTGTGCCAGATCAAGTCCTCGGTAATGTGGACTCCCGCCAGCCAAAAAAAACGGCTGTTTGGTAGAACTCGGCCATCCATCGAAACCGAATGAACGCTAAGACGCTTCTTGTTCGTCAAGGTACAGTACTGTGTTTTGGAAGCAGTAAACTATACTAGAATCTTGCGTCCCCAAACAAAAATGCTCTATGCGACAACACAACCTGCTAAAGCTAAAGCATATACTCCAGACAGCGCTACGATTTAGCTGAAAAGTGAACGGTGGCAAATGTCAACAGATTCTGGGACATACAGTGAAAAAATATCCATATACACTTATTTTAATGAACTTGCTCTGAAAATCTAAACCCATTCTCTAACATCAACCTCCCCTGTTTCCCACCCCATCGCGTGTCACGAAGCAACATTAATCTTTCACGGTGGCTTGTAATGGCGTCAGTTAAGCAAGCATTCCATTGTTTGATACAATTCCACCTTGATCCAAGTGGTATGCAAGTTAAAAGGCCATAAAATGAGCTGGGTTCGTGTCTCGTGACACCATCGCTGAATTTGCGAGGTTCAAATCCGTTGCGAAGCTATCGCAACCAGGTTGTCACTAGCTGCTAGAAAACTTACTAGGAGGGAATGCGATATTGCCTTACAGGCTAGTACATGAAGAGAAAAGGAAATATAGTATTTCTGCGAGTATCCATTACGTTAAACGTAACTGCAAATAACAACCAATTATCTATAGTAACATTTCAAAATATCCCATATCGACGACTGACACGCCATTCGGACGGATCAGTTAATGCTAGATCTGCAGGTAGATTCGTATTTAAAGACCAAAAAAGACCACGTAATATTGTTCCAAATGATACAGTATTTCTGAGTCCGTAGCTGGAATCAATGCTTTTTACCTAGAACCCCACATTTTGTCTAACGCCCCCCCCCCCTCCTTTATACGCCACTGTGAAAAAAAAATGCTAACGTCTCGAACACGACCATTTAAAGAAAAAGGACGACAGTATTCGGCTTCTTTAAAATTCAAAAATTAAGAATGTCATTTCCAAAAACCCAGAACCTCTCAGTACGTCTCACATGCCAGGATCATTTGCATTCATTATAATCATAATAATTATTTGACTAGTTATGATGTACCAGTAATTTGGCATAAAAGGGATTGCTCAATCACTAATCCGACCAAGATCAAACTAGTGCGTCCTGGTTAAGAACTAAATTGCCATTACCATATGCTTAAGACGAACCTTAGAATTATTCGGATATACGAGTATAGCTAGACGAGAAAACAATAACGTGGAAAGGTTGATCGTATCTGCAGATGTTCAGGGAAGAGGAAGGCGTGAACGTTAGACAATGAGATGGTTGGATTAAATTCAGCAATCAGAAAGAAACAACAAAAGGAATTAAATTACATATGGTTGAGACAAACCTAAGAATTGTTTGTATATACAGGGTGTTTCAAATTCGACCCTCACCATTGGGGTCTCGGAAACGGTAAGAGATACGAAGTCGCTTGAATGGGGGCAAAATTGCGTATTTTTATAATCAACAAAAAGCCGCTTAGACCGTCTCAAAATTCGGAGGGAGACGGACAAAAACCAATTTTCCCAAAATCGTTTTAATTTTTTTCTGACTCTGTAGTAGGATTTCAAAATAAATTGCACATTACCACTGCCATTTTTTTTCCTCTACTGACAGTTGGAATCGGTAGGTCTACCGATACCAGGAATAGCGCCTCTGGTCTGATATACGAGACAAATGAAATATGATAATTTCAAGGCCTGCCTAGGAATTTCTATTTTTCTGGAATAATTAAGGTTTGGCAATGTATAACTAATTTATACATTTTTGAAATCAGAATTAAAAACTATATTAATCTGCGCAAAAAAATAAACTTAATGCTGGAGGATGAAGGATGAAACGTCATATTGAAATTTTAATTATGCCATCTTGTAGAGGAGAAAAAGCGGCAACGTTAATGTGCAATTTATTTTGAAATCCCACTACAAATAAAAAGGGAAAAATTAAAACTATTCTAAATACTTGTTCGTCAAACATATTCGGTGATACATTATTTGAATTTCGAATTGCTTTACTGTTATTTAAGAAAGAACGCAATCTTAGTGCCTCCCTGAATTACTTCGCAATCCAAGGCATCCACTTTCGTCTAATAAAGTTAAAATTAGCCCAATGATGTTGTAGTCTAATTTTAAACTACTTTAAAGCTTTATTGAAGGAAACCGCGCTAACGACAATATTTACCGGTTAACTGTTAGACGAAAAAATTCATCACAGGATATTATTTAGCCGTGATGTGATAATAAAATTTGCTAACATTCCATGATACGTTAACACGCTTTGCGCTTTGAAAAAGATGTTTAAAATATTTATTAGACGTTAATTTCTTTCTTATTCTTACAAATTATTGAGAATTTTAAAGTAATTATTTTTCTACATTCGTACAAAAAATAAGTTTTGTTGCTCACAGTTGGCAGATGTTTATCGAGGACATCAAATCTGATAGTTCTGTTGCTCTAAAATACAAGGGAGGACAGGCATCTGAGACTCTAAAAGCAATCATACTGGCCAGTTGTCCATGTACATTTGATAAAATGTTGACACATATTAATACTAATGATGCTTGGAATCCGAAGCTGAGCTTATGCAGTATCTTGGAACTATGAAAAAATCTCCACTGAAAGGTTAGAAATCAACAGTAAAATGTATAATAGAGGTTTGCACAAAACGTGACGTCGAACATTGTTAGATAACAGTACTTGCCGCAACATATTGACAATTACTATATATTTGCATAATTTTAATCAGTAACCAGGCGCAAAAATAGCCGAGTACTAAATTTAAAAATTCCGTTTACAAAGCATCCGCGAGCGCATGATAAATTGTTCGCATTCGGGACAGAAACTCAATACTAATGCAGTATGGGTTTCAAGTTTTATTTTTATTTGGACTTCCTTCTCCTATATTCGGTCACATGGATTGATTTTCCTTCTACGTTGCTTCAACAGTCTTTCAGGCGCCGACCTCAGCATTGACGTGCAACATTTTATATTATTGGGATTTTTTCAACGAAATATAATAATAATAATAATAATAATAATAATAATAATCTTTATTCGTTGGTACCGTTGGTTGGTACCAAGGTACAGAGATATGGAAGTGATACTTGGAAAAGGCGAAGTTCAGCTTTCATTCCTATAGAGGAATGGCTGGTCTTCCACTTAATATATATATATATATATATATATATATATATATATATATAAATATAAAATTTTTCTTTTGACGAATTTTCAATAATTTGCTTCCAAAGTTATATTCTGACTGATTTCACTTCTTCTATGAGCGAGCATAGGCCAAACTTGCCCTCGCAAAGTTCAAACGTGAAATTTCACGCCAAGATATAACGTAATAAGAACACTGTCATAAAAAGAGCTGTCATGAAGGTTAGGTTTCATTCAGGAATGAGGAAAATTATATTTTTCCCTATCTGTCTGAAATAAAAATCAGATCCTCTGATTTCTTGAAAGGGCAATACCATTGATGATCGTATTCTACCTGAAGATGGCCAACCATATACTGTATTACGGCGTGACAAGAGTTAGAATGGATGGTTGTGCTACTGTCTCATAAATGGCGCTCGGATCTTCAATTCCTTTTAGGCGCATCTCGGAGGCGTGCTTTGATTGGATATCTCCAGGCATTGGTTAACTAATGTTACCAAAAAGAAATTGAAGATCCTAGCGCCATCTATGAACTAGCAGTAGAACCAAACACTCCTAATTCTTTTCAAGATAGACTTCTAAATTTTTTTTTAGTTGGCTATCTTCCGGTATAATTCGTTAATCAATGGCAATACAGAGTTATTTTTCAATGTACAACGAACACATTTTTCCAATGCACGAATACACGGTCATATAATTTCATCTATTCATCGTACTGATGAACCCCAACAAAGACGGAACGGTATCATGTTCGATCGATATTGGATGAGCAGTGTAGTCAGATCTCTGTTTATCTGAGCAACCTATTGCGTGATATGAATAATCAATTTTCCGAGTATTTTCCCCATGATGGAATATTATTGTTATTGTGCCTTCAGAATGAAGTTATGGTGCGTATTTCCACTGAAAAATTATGGTGATAACGTATACATTATATGCATATGATGAGTCACGACCAGTGATAATATACTCTAATAATGTCGCAAAGGTCATCAGTAAAGATAAACAATTTAATAAACAACTCATTAGATT